CGCTCTTCGTCTCGTTGCAGTAAAATGATGGTCCAGGCGGGATGTCGGAGTGATGCGTTTGTGTTTATTTGTGTTCACTGTCTGAAATCAGCAGCAACATGACGTTAGACGAACAGAAGCTGCTGCAGGTTTGGACAAAGCAGCAGTAATAGATGAGTTTACACTGACTGACAGGTTGTGATGCCGTTTTGGTGCAATAATTCCTTCTTCACGCATTTAGCAGACGGAGCAGCATTTTTTTGGAGTAAATAGTTGCTGACCATTGCTGTTTTTGTGCAAATTTGCAAAAAAGAAAAGAAAGTTCGGCTTGTTTCCATGAACTGCTCTGGAGTGAACAAACCCGACGAGGTACTCTGTGCACGGCAAAGTAAGAAGCTGCCAAAGAAAACCTCAGAGAAGAAGAAATAAACACAACTTTGGCCATCTGTGAGAGAAAAACAAGTCTTCAGGAACTGTTTTCAATCTGGGAATTAATTTTTCGTGTCGGCGATTGATTTTAATGCTGAACAGCTGATCAGTCGTGTGAGTTCAGCGTCCGTCAGAACTTATTCAAAGAAGATGTTTTTATTTTCCATCATTAACTCCTACAAGACAGTGAGAACGTCAAAACGTTTTTCTGCAAAATTGAGCAAATTCTGTCAAATTTTTCTTTTTTCCAACATCTTTTCCAAACGTGTCTGTCTCTGGTAGACGCCTGCTGGTTCTGAACCCACCTGCCTGTGCTCCATGAAACCAGAACAAAGAGCTGAAGCTGTTCACCGATAGCTGGCGGCTGCATCACTACAAGCAACATCCTCACACTAGTTTTAGATCCAAAACTATGGAGCGGTGCAGCTTTAAAGTGAGAGTAAATAAAAACACAGAAAACGCTAAAATCGGAACATATGCTGAATGAATAAAACTGAACACCCACATTGCACTTAAACGCTTAATAAAGTCATATTTTAATAGGGGCTCAGATGCAGTCACAGTTCAAAGGAGGACAAACGGTGCAAACGTGGCCACGAGCTGCTGCTACAACAGAAGAGATGCTGTTCTTGCAGCATTGTGATCGGCCTCGGCGCTGCAGCTCCTCCACCAGCAGCGCTGCAGCTCCTGTTTTTCTTGCCTCAGCAGCAGGTCGACTGTGTGATGGATGCTGACGGGCAGCAGACAGACGTCCATCTGGGAGGAAACATCGCTGCCTCCTCTGCTGGGCCTCCACCGCCCACTCACAGATCAATCAATACCGAGCTAAAGTTAGCATCAGCAAAGAAGCCCGGAGGCCTCGGAGAGACGTTCCAGTGAGTAAACTGTACTTTTACTGCTTACGTCTGGCCTCTCTCTACATGCATCTCCTGGAATATCTGCATATTCAAGCGTTTATTAGAAAAACAAGATATGAGACACATGATTAGTGTTTTTAAATGATATAGGCCTTCTGTGTTTGTGAAGGCATCGTCAGGTCTTCTCCTCAGGTAGCGCAGAGAGCTGGAGTGGCCTCTCGTGAACAGATGGCGGCCATGTTTCCATCTAAGTGCACTTGGCAGCGTTCTGACACAATAATCCATCTTAGCGGGCAGAGGGACGCCTCGCTGTAACCCAGGAACATTCACCGAGTCACACGTTAGCAAATATGGGCTAGAAAATATCAAAGTGTGCTGCTGCATCATATCTGCTGAGGGTTCCTCCCTCCGGTTCCTCCACCCACACAGCTGACGTCACGTTAAGGCGCCGAACAGAGCTGCAGGAGTGAAAGAAAGACGGTTTGTCCGAGTGGAAACCTGCTTCATGGTGCCGAAAGATCTCGTTTGCTTTGCTCTGAGGGTGTTAAACCACATGAAGAACCCCACACAGCTGTGATTTGCACTTTAGTCGAACCAAATGATGCACAAACATTAAGTAGGTTCGGGGCAATAAAACTACAAGCACAGCCTCGGTTCAGCTAAATGACAGACATTTCCACAGAATTAGAAAGGGATCATTGCTTTGTTATGCAACAGCCGCCATATTGTGCTCCCAGCAGTCAGTCTGATATTTTCACAGGAAAAAAAACAAACCAATCAGCTAATCACATCAGTGGTATCGAAACAATCCGTCAGTACGGCGCCAACGGCTGCTTCTGAATAGTCGGACAATCCTCATAGCTTGAGATCTCTCCAATTAAGCCTAATTGAGGTCTGGGTAATAAGGATAATAATGATTTTATTTTTTTGAATCCACTAACATTTAAAGCTCACAGATTTAAATTCAGGATAAAATGCTCCCTCTGTTAATACACGTGGGTAGTGACGCCCTCGTGACGTTGTTTTTCAGTGGACTGGTTTGTAGCAGAAACATCTCACCTCCATCTGGACTGTTGTGGGATCTGTCAGCGTCCATCTGTCCTCCAATAACTCTCTATTAAGCATCTGCTGCCCATCAGGAGGGTCTCACTAAATCGAGTCGAGCAGCCTCGTCTGCGAGTCCTGTGCTCTGGGCGTGGCTCCGGATCATCTGCGCACAAACGCCGAGAGAAACACGAAGGAGAACCCAGCGAGAGCATTGAGCAGAACCTCATCCTGCTGCACTGTGTGTCCTGTTCAGTGGAGAACAAGGAGAGAGTCCTGTGCTCGTGAGGTCAGGTCGCTCTGTACATGATCGAGTCAGTAACGAGGCAGCTTGTGATATAGAAATGGCTTCATATCTAATACAAACTCCTGCACCTCTAAAGGAAAAAGAAGTAGAGAAAAAACTCAAAACTACTGTTAAAATATCACAAATTATTTCTAAAAACGGAATGAAGTGAAGTTGGGGGGAAATCCTGGAGCCAACATGTCCGACGGTTTGTCCTCACGCTGAGAGAAAAGACTTCACAGACATTTAGAAATTTGTTCCCACGTTTGTCTTCTGCACGTCCTGCACTTCAGCCGAGTCGTCCGTGAACTTTTGCTCAGCATTAAAGCATCTATTTATTGCAAGTAGTTTATTTTCGACTGTTTTTGTAAACGAGACGTGCAGAATAAAGTGATTTTACTTAAAATATCCGGATCTCAAAGCTCAGACTTGGTGCCGTTTCCGGACGTCATCACAGACGAGCAGAATCCTTGTCGACTCTTTTTGTTTTTACAGGTTCTGGTTTTGATAAATGCTGTGATTTTTGTGTTTGTTTACAGACGGGACACTTTTCAAAGCTGCTGGTGTGTTTCGGGGTTCAGAGAGCTGAAAGGCAGCGATGATACAACGCAGTCATCCTTAAAAAAAGAAGGAAGACTATTTTGCTGCACATTCAGCGTCCGTGAATCCTCCTGACTTTGTCATTCTCCCATTTTTCTGCCACAGTTCTGATTTTTAGTGAACTATCTCAAAGACTGGGGGTGAGATCTGGTGCACGTCCTCCTTCCACTTCCTCTTTGACCACCAGTTTGACTCGTAACCAAATCATCTTAAAACATTCAACAGTTTTCTGCTGTGCTGGTTTTGCTGACTGCCTGAGCCTCACAGAGCTGCCGGCCTGACAGCGGCTTCCTGTTTATTATTTATTCAATCAATCGTCCTGCAGTCGTCTTGATTCGTCTCAGGCCTTCAGAGGATCCCGGCCCGGTTCGGAAACAGAAGGCCCCAGTAACCGCGGTGGATTTCTGCTGGATTGACAGTTAACATTTGCAGAAACACGACCAGCAATTGACATAATGCTGTAATTAAACATCGAGGAGCACATGTTCCCCTGTAGCTCTGCTGAAGTGTCCCGTGGACTCCTGCGATCCACTGAGCTGAGCTGCATCACCGGGACCTTCTGGAACCCTAAATGGAAACAGCGCTGGAGCTCGACTCGGCGCTGCAGGTCACCGGGAGGCTAATGGAGGTGCAGGCCGGGGAGGAGCGGCGGCGGCGGCGGCATCTTATCTCCAGCTGCACGCCGACGGCCCCGAAAATGACCCAATACACGAAGGAACAGAATGCAGGACGAACACAAATAAAAAGACCCGTCGTAGCGGACTTCCTGCCTGAGAATCGAACACCGCTGTCGGGTCTGTCCAAGAAAAAACTAACCCAACAAAACAAACTGCATCCTGAGTTTGAATGGTGCTCCGTTTTGACGAATGCAGTGCTTTACCACTGAAGGCGTCCATGGCGATGAGCTGCAGAAAGAACCTGAAAGAGGTTTTCCTTCAGCTGACAAGTGCAAAAACCACATCTCGTGTCTTTCTGGCAGATTGCGAGGCTGATTGTTTCTGGCTGGATGCAGCTACTCCCTGGTTGTGGCAGATTTAAAACCATGTCTCATCCAATAAACCGGCTAATTAAAGCATTGTTTCTGAAAAAAAAATACAGTTTTTTTTCTTTGGCATTTAAAGCCAATTAAGAGCGACATACATTCCACCATAACAGGTGAGAAGGGACCTTTTCAGATGCCATCACTGACAACACTCATTAGCGAACTTCTCATCTACACACGACGCATCCTGTTGGACTGCTGCTTTAAAAGCTGCTTCTTGTTTTTATGCTGAAACTCTGACCTTTAAAAGGTCGAGCTGCAGTCAAAGCTGCCACAAGGAACGTCATGACGGACTGACAGTTTTCACTCAGCGAGTCCGATCCTTTTCCTTCCTGAACACGGTCGGAGCCACGAAGGCTGTGATCCGGGGAGACCGCACAGCTTCAGCCGAGCTCCGATCGCAGGCCGTCGGTGAACATTATTAGTCGCAGAGCTCGGAAAGACTCAAAATGACGGACTTAATTAGCACACCCAGATAACGCGCTCCTAAAATAGATCCCAAGGTCAGCGATGGGTGAGCTGACAAAGTGAAACACAATCTTCAAACGTCCAACGGGAAACTCTGTCTCGGTTGTTTAACGGTGACGTGCAGGATGTCTGGTCCCGTCCAGCCTCCCACTGATGCATCCTGAGTGGCCGAGCTTCACGTCTCACAACGAGCCTTTTTAATTTAATCATCAACTGGGCCGCATCTGATAAAAACATCACGCAGACCGCAAGTTGGTTCTTTACAGCCCGTTAAATAAGCACAACGCAGACCGTGTCAGAGTCACACACACCCAGTTTTTCTCTTTTTATTCAGTGATAAATAATTTCTTATGATCATAGGCTTTATGTGTAGACATCCGATCAAGGCAAGAGACAAATTAGAGGGCACACACGTTGCCACCATTAGAAAATAATAGCAGAAACAAAAACAATGAGGTAAGAAGTTCTCTTTTTTATACATTTGTGGTGCTTCTATGTCTGTTACCTATACTGTTGAATGCACAGTGCTTCCTAATACAGAAATCCTGCCTTTTGTGTCTGTACATTATGAAACAAGAACAGGTCATGGCACAAGACTAAACCATCCAGGACAGGCCGCTGCACACTCAGGTGTAGCAGTTACTCATCATCGGACCGAGAGTCAGAGAAGCTGAGCAGGAAACAGAAATACGAAACTCTAAGACTTGGCGACTGAGCGGCCGTGATTGGGTTCAACACACACACACACACACACACACACACACACTCACACACACTTCCAGAGAGCGCCAGGAGCTTGTATGTTCCCCACGAAAACAAAAAAAGCTGCAAAAATTAATTTTGAGAATCGATTGAGCAGAAAAGAGACGCCTTCGCCTCCGATGTGATGCTAAATTAATAAGACGTGGATCGCGAACGGCTCGAGTGACAGTTTGGAGCTTTTTAGTCGAGGAGCTGGTCGAGGAGGCTTCCTGTATGAATGGAACGTCTAATATCAGAGGTGGAAGATATTTGAGTTTATTGGGTCGAATCCTAATTCTACTCAGACGTATTTTTCCATTCGTTTGCTCGCACTTATAAAAGATTTTATCGTCGAGATAAAAGAGGCTCTTCAGCTTCAAACAGTCACGTTTCTAGGTTTCCTTCAACATAAATCCAGTAAAGGATTGTTCTTTCTTTCAGTGACTCCGTGGCAACGTACGTCCCGTTTACAGCTCCAAAAACTACAAAACGTTAATTAATCTGATCGATACCAGGTCACGATTCTGGATTCATGAAAACTGCTTTTCAGCTCATGTTGTGCTGAATTCGTGCTAATGTACAAAACTTAGCATCAAAATAAGGCTTAAAGCAGGTTTTTTATTTTTCATCTAAATTCTCTCCTAAATGCACAAAATCTAAATAAAATCATCCAGAATGTGTTTGTGTTAGAAGAAGTTGTTTCACTTCTTGGGCGACCAGAAGCTTCTCTGTGCACGACGGCAGCCGTTCACGGATCATTTGTTAATTAACTTTACCAATTAATCACACTTGCTAAGGAGCATTCTGAGCAGACTGTTGTTGTCTTTTGTATTCATGGTAACTTATCTTCCAGGAACTCAACCCGGATGGAGGCAAATCAACAGAAAACTTCCGGCTGGTTGCGTGAAGCGTTCTGTGAAGTAATCACGACTGTGACCGGAATGAAGATAATCAACAGGCCGACTGACAGTGTGTGTGTGTGTGTGTGTTACAATCAGAGGGCTCTCGAGCAGCACACTGAGGCCCAGCCCCTCGCGTGGACATGACCTGCAGTCCCAGTGCACGAAACAAGACACAATAAAAACCCACTGCTGGCTCCGACACTAAAGGAGAATACCACCGGCTTATTTTCACACCGGATGTAACTTCATGTTCTGGTTATAAAACTCAATACTGTCTGCTGTAGTCTGCATTATGTGGGTCCATCTCAGGCCGCCGGGAACGTAACGCCACAGCGATGCACATTCTTGGGCAATACTTTGAAAGGGCCGCCGTGCACGTGGCCGCACGAACAGAATTACTACAAATACAAGATGTGTGTTTATGTTCAGATGATTACTCTTCTAAATTCACAGTCTTCTAGTTATTGGCAAAAGGATGTGATTCAGCGTGATGGGCTGAGCTGAGCAACAGAGCCGTCTACTAACACGTGTCCGTATAAATAACACACTGAGTGGCATTCTCCTTTGTGGTGCTTGATCTCCTGTTCTGCTGCCCAGGGAGGTCAGCGCTCGCTGCTACCTGCTCCTGAGCAGGAGCTGGTTGGAGACGAAGAGGAAGCACACCTGCATCTTCCGCTCATCCACAGCAGCCCCAGCGTGGGCCCAGACAGCTGGGATCACAGCTGCTCTCCTCCGCCACACACCTGGGGCCGTGACATGTGACAGGCGAGAATAAACCCTGCTCTAAAGCCAAGCTGTCAGAAACCCTCCCCCCGGTTCCCTTCGACGGTTCAGCTCAGTGAACCTCGATAACGCTCGAGACTACTTCGGTGGAAAGGTGGCGGTGGGGGGCGGGGGGGCAGAGGGAAACGAAAAGAACACAAATTGTACAACAACAGAAAAACACAAAACTGAAAATAGCTGAGAGAAGCCAAAAATAGCGACAGGAGCGGCGGTGACGGCGCAGATGTGTGCTGAGGGCGGCGAGGCGGGAATCGAGTCGAGGAGTGGCTGTAGTGGTCCTCCACAAATGTGCGCCAGCATTGTGGCCGCGGTTGCCATGACGGCGGCACATTAAGCACCCTTTCCAACAGAACAACAACGGAGAGACGGCCATATTTTAAATGAACAGTGGCAGGCGGCTGCTGCTGCTGCTGCTGCTGCAGCCTCGGCGGCCCTCTCCCGCTCCTCCAGCCCTCTGTAGTGTTTGGTTCATGTGTTCATCTCTTAGTAGTTCGCTGCTCCACGGTCCTGTGGCCCTTTGACACATAAGCAGAGACTTCCCTGTTTCAGGCTTCTGGCCAGAGTTTGTTGTTTTTGATTTTCAGTCATTGTGTGTTTTTGTAAATCCCATAAAACTTTCAGAGCCTCCCGAGTCAGTCCAGAGGCGAGCACGGCGGAGCCTCAGCCCGGGAGGCAAACTTTTCCTGCAAACAGCAGTCCCACTATGGTGAAGAAGATGGAGAGGACAAAGAGCACGTAGGAGGAGCCGACCACCGTGTTGTTGGGCAGCTTGTACGGCTGACCTCCCACCTCGTTGATGTAGAAGCCTATTGGGAAGATGAGCGCCGCCATGCAGAACAGGATCACTGCAAGGAAGAGAGAAAACATGAGTTGTCTACATGCTCACAGATGATTACTTGGATTCTGCAGTTTTTGATGCATCTAAATCGGAGACTCGTGTCAAGATTTAAGAAAGAAAACATCTACAAGTGACGCAAAAAGAGTGTCAAGTCTTTGTTTTAGTCTTTGTTCTTTTCAGAAAATCAGCCATAACTTCATCAACTTGGGCAGGAAGCAAAGGCTGCTCCAAGTTCATCAGAGACACAATAGTTCCTTTGAAAGGGCTTTGAAAGAACACTGACACAAAGCAGACTCGTGGCATTCAGCGCTGAGCGTGACTCTGCCTGGTGTGCTGTACAGAGATGAGAGGGAGGGACAACAAAGGGCTTTACGTCACTTTCACATTGTCACAGGTTATATGGAGGGTTGCTATGCATCAGAGAGAGTTTGGTGCCCTCTAAAGAGGTTTTAGGGGAAAACCATCAGTGAAACATGACAAGAATTGAGAATACACCAGTTTTTACCCACTTCTGTTAACTGGGGTTTTATTTACTCAAGTATCAAACAGTCAGGTTTGACAAAAAATGTTTACATTCATGGCCGTTATTCAACACGGAGTCCAAACTACAACTCAGCAGCGCATCTTTTACACTTAATGATCAGCAGCTAAAGCCTGAGCTGCAGCTTTCAGGAAGTCAGATTTTAGTGTCTACTGAAAATACCCAGAGTGTCCACATAACAGCACGCAGCACTGAAACCCCAGGACGTCCATATAGCTCCTCCCCTTTCTGCAGCAGCCACAGCTAAAACATCCCACACTCACATCTGACCACGGAGATCATTAGTGATTTACTTCTCAATAGTTTGTGCCAGAGCTGCAGGTGTCTCGGTGGTTAGCACCGTCGCCTCACAGCTAGAAGGTCGCCGGTTGGCATCCCGGTGAGGACACCCGGGAGTCTCCATGTTCTCCCCGTGCAGCGTGGGTTCTCTCCGGGTTCTCCGGCTTCCTCCCACAGTCCAGAAACATGCTGAGGTTAATTGGTGATTGTAAATTGTCCGTAGGTGTGAATGTGAGTGTGCTTGGTTGTCTGTCTCTAAGTGTAGCCCTGTGATAGACTGGTTACCTGTCCAGGTGAACCTGCCTTCACCCTGAGTCAGCTGGGATAGACTCCACCCCCAGTTTCTGCAGTATGTGTACCATTTTTTATTCTAATGTGCAATATTTCAGTTTCATGTACAGCTTTGAATGTAGAGTGCAACATTTCATTTTATTTCTTCACTGTCATGTGTGATTCAGTTTACTGCTCTATTCCAGCCTTATTTTAGGGACCTATTATATTTCAGTGATGTATCGTGCTCACATTTTGTTGCTTTTTCTACTTTCTAGACGCTGAATTTCTTGTGTTGTGTCATTTAGCTTTTTTTCTGAGCAAAATCTGGCACAAGAATTTCCCAGTGGCCCAAAATCTATTTGTGACCCCACTCCAGAGAATAAAGCTTTTCCATGTACAACCAAACAAACAGAAAAACACACGGACACACATCTCCCTGCAGAGGCCTGCTGACCACAGGTGTGCAGCTCAGAGGAGAAAACACTGATGAACGTGACGCTTGGACTTCCCCTCATGCTGGAGCTGCTTCACTGATGATGGTTAAACCTCCACAAAATGCGCTCAACTGTCTGTGAAAATTCAGATTATATTTCTCCTTCTGTTGTCTGTTGTTTGAATTATCCATATTTCTCATGGCACTCGAAGGCATCGTTCTTCCACAGCTGAACGTTCCTGCAAATGGCAGCAAGAGACCCCCAGGTAGAAGACCTCATCTGAGCTTCGACGTTTGTCAGGTCTAGATAAAGTCTGTGTGAATCATTTGTGAGTAAAATGGGATCATTATGAGCTCCTAACCCTGAGCTGAAAATAAATGTACAGGGTTTTGTTTTCAGACTCCTTTAATGCAGCTTTAGTTTCAGTAAATGTTTCTCAGCAAACAAACAAGCTCTTTATGCAGCCTGGGGCTGATTAACGCAGTGTGTTTCTCTAAAGGCTTCAATCAGATCCCAAGCTTTCTGAACGGGCGCATCGCCGCTCGGATTATCTGCTGCAAGTTAATTCTAAATGTGGAGGAAGCCATCTTGCTGTAGTTTCCCACGACTGCGACTGGATGTTATTTAAGGTCCATGATCGAGAAGACCGAGCGCTGAAAGAAGCGCCACGAAAACGCCTTTCTTTGTGCTTTAGGGAAGACAATAAAACACATTTCAGAGTTTATTCTGCACAGACGAAACCACATCACTTTAGTCTGTTTGCAAATCCCAGCAGAACCGTCTCGCTCAGCAGCTTGAATAAATACGAGAAACCCGCTCGCCTTAACGGCAGCACGACATCAGAGAAGCCTCATTTCTCCAGCGTCTCCAAACGTTTCAGGCACTAAGAACGCAAAAATTAATGCAATGAGTAGTCAATAAATGTCATACAAAGTGCAGGAAACAGTAAAAAAAAAACAGCACCAGTTGTCCAGGACTTGTACCTGGCAGGCGGGTTTTGGGAAGCATCTCTGAGAGCTTCTGAGACTGACTGAGCGACCGACACCAGGGCTCCTACAGAAGCCCGGTTAGCACGCCGCATATCAACGTGTTCACCACGTTCCTGCTCAACCTGGTTTCTTGTTGGACTGCTGAGCCCTGAGATCCGCATCAGCCCCGGTGGGACCAATCGGCTCCGAGCGCTGGCCACATGCTGAGAACCCTCACGTTCGCAACGGACGCCGTTCTTGGTATCAGCGAACATGCTGCGACGCTCCTGTTAGCACGTGTTAGCAGCTGCAGAGACAAACAGGAGAGTTTCATCCCACTGTCCAGGACGTAGGTGCCTGTGATTAAATAACGAAGCTGTCACTAATAAGAGAGGCTGTTTGAATCCAACAGAGTCCAGTCAGGTAACACGCAGCGACACCGAACAGCGACACAAACTGTGTGACTTCTGAATCGCAGATCAATAGCTGCTCGTCTCATTAAGAACACGTCCTGCAGATGGATCAGAGAGCTTCTGTTTCCACCTGCACTGTCTGTAGCAGCATCAGTTCACACAGAAAACACCCCGTTTCTGAATCGTTTCTAAGCTAAACCAGCACTCACAGGCTGGGCTGAAATATTCTGGTTATGTTAACAGCGTGTAATCCATTAGGCGGCGGCCCAGGAAGCTATTTTTAGCTTTTACCTTTTCACTTTATCTCAGCATCTTGCAGAGGTTCTCAGTGCCTCGTGGATGCTTTTTCTTGGTATCAGAAATCCCACCAACGCTTCCCTCAACTGTTCCTTAGCCAGAAAGCTGTGATCTTGCGATGTTTAATCAGGCAGGTCAGTATGAATAAAACCATCTGCAGTGGAAAACAACCAGATCAAAGAAACCGACAGGAATATCTTCAATAATCTGACATTAGAAACTAAAAAGAAAATCACAGAAAGTCACTCAGTCCAGCTCATCTATTTACCCACCATGTCTAATAAAGACGTTTATGAGCCGCCGGCCGTCATATAACTACTTTTACATTCCACCTGAACGAGGTTAACCGAGCGTGACGTTCATGCAGCAACGTGATTCGTTAATAAACTGCTTTTATTGGCCTTTGTTGCAGGCTGCTCACAAACTAAACCTCCGTCTCGTCTGTGTGTTGCTAAACCTGCATCACGAGTAGAGACGGGTACCGAGGCCCAGGGGTGGCATGTGTCAGGACTGGGGCACTGATAAAACTCTGACATTACCGGTACTTTAGAAATTAAGAAGAACATTGTGCTGCACTTTGTCTCTCATCACTGTAAGACACGATGTGTCCATGATGCACTTTTGGTTTCCAAATCCTAAACGGTGTTCTGTCTGTGGGCGTCTGCAGCTCTGTGCAGCACTAACAGGTGATGGACGTCCAAAAGTGGGATTTAATTCTGCAGAAATTGTTCGTTCCCACAAAAGCAACAAGTCGTTTGCACGTCGGAGCAGAAACGCGATCAATCCGTTGTGACTTTGAGCAAAAGTTCATCACGTACAGATGGAGAATGGTAAATGTTCTGCACCTATACAGTTCTTTTCTGCCTTAGCGGCACTCAAAGCGCTTTACAGTGTGTTTCTCATTCACCACTCACACACATTCACACGCCAACAGCCACAGAGCTGCCATGCAAGGTGCTGCCTGCCTGCCATCAGGATCAGTGTCTTGGCCAAGGACACTTGGACTGTGGAGGGGATCGAACCGCCAACCTTGTGATTGGAGAACAACCTGCTCTACCACCTGAGCCACAGCCGCTGAGCTGATAGTCGATCCATCACTAGCCAGGTACGCTAACTACACTATGATTAAAATGAAGCATTCACCAGCTGTTTGTTACACTTCCTGTAGTTCTAAATCATCACAACATCACGATTTAGTGATTTCAGAGCAGCAGACAAACTCTGTCTCACTTGATTTTCACCGTTTCTCTGACTGACTGTCGTTGTCAGTGGGTAGACGGAGTACTTTAACTGTTCATTCTTAGCAGCATTACCTTTATTTTGCACTTAAAAGTGAAGCGAGAAAGAGGTTTTAATCAGCCCAGTGTCCTGACATGTACTGAACATCTGTTCAAGGTGGAGCTCTTCATTCTGATATGATGTTGGACAGTTTAATGGGAGTGTCCACAGAGCTCTGATCATCCATCAACACAACACCGACGTCCAGAGAAATGTTCATTCTTATACAGCACGTGTGAAATAATTCATCCTCAGTCTGCTCTTGTTTTGCTTCATTTTTTTCCCTTTAAAAAGAAAAACAAACAACCAGAAATAACCAAATGGTACCAACAGGAAGACGGATGGATGAGCAGCATCGGCCATGACCATCCTAAGCCATCCCTGATCACGAGCCAGACACAAGTTCATCCGTCTCCGTGACTCTCGCGTGTTCATCCAGGAGGAGGCAGCCATTGTTAAAGCTAAAAGGAAGCAAAAAAACAAAAAAAACGCCACCACAGCTCAGCATTGCACCTGCAAGCTTCCCCACCGCCGCTCAGTCGACTCCGGTTAACGAACAGCAGCGGCGACACAGCTCAGAAAAGTAACCTGCCACCACTTAAACACCAAAAAAAGCAAAATAATCTCATCTTCCAGCTTCTTCGAGGAGAGAATTTGCCACTCTTCTGTGTCGTATGTTAAAAATAAACAGAATTTTAAGCTTATTTTTTGTATTTTGGACAGCTGGTTGGAAATACCAGCTGTCACTTTAGGCTTCACAAAACTGCAAAAAGCAGACGTCTTCACTACTTTCTAGCAAATTAAAGCATTAAGTGAGAAATAAAAATGAATAAAAATACTTGTGGTGCCTCTTAAATGATTCCTATTCTGTTGTACTCTTTTTTTTTTTTATTATCTAGATTTATTTCCCCTTTATCCATACAGCACACATACATAAATGCCTGTGTGGTTTGAGTTCTATTTTATTCTCTATTCTTGCATTTGTCTCTGTTTTCGGCGCTACAAGCCGACTTCTCTCCTGTTTTGTTGTCAAGCTAATGTATTATGGTCTGTCGGTGCACTGAGGCCATGTTCCCGTATCTACCCCACAGAACCAAACAACATCAACTCACTACAAAATGTTCAAACAATCCACGAGAGCTCCAGCACCACAGCAGCACGGTGATGAACAAGCAGGCGAGGCCGACACGTGAAGCTACACGAGCGTTTCTCGGCGCTGCTTCGTCTCCAATAAAGCCGTCTTTGGTAATTGCTGCCAAGATGATCTAATAAACATGTTTAATCTGCACCATCAACAAGAACCGAGAGAGCCGCGCTGCTCGTTAATGTGTGGCTAACGAGACCGACGCTGCTCGTTAGCTGCACTCATTGTCCCAGACGGCGCTGTGCATCATAAACTTGTCAGATGATAAACAACAAGACGTGGCAGAACAGAAACGCCACAAGACACGTCTGAGGCCACGTGGAGACAGATGGCTGTGAAACGACCTGGTCTGCACCTGTTGTCCGAGTGGAGGCGTCCTAATGATCTCTTCTCTGGAATGCTTTGTGAAAATGTAATTAAACTGACACAAAGATTGTTGACACAACAACTGCAACAACACAACTCTGAGTTCTCACATTCTGGATGCGACTGCACTGGGCCTGCTTGGTTCTGGTTCAGGTTCTTGTGGATTGTTGTTTCTGCGTGTCAGATGAAAAGCTACAACGGCATCTACAACGTTATGATGTCCTCATTCTGAAACACCCAAAGACAAGTTTCTCCTCTAAACAGGCAGACTCTATTTTTGTTTTTATGCAGGACTTAAACTCAGAATTACTGGCCGTCAACAGCAGCAGCCCAGGGTTCCCCAAAACATATCGGTTCTGACATGACGTCCCAGAAAGTGGCTCAGAACTGACGAGACGGAACAACGAAATCCACCAGAAACGCTTCAACAAATTCAAAAACTCCATTTAAACGCCACGTTGTTTCGTCTCACTGTTGTTTTTCACAGATGTTTTAGATCTAGATGTCAGACTTCTGCTATGGAGTAGTGAGAGCGCCAGATTACAAAAATAAATCAATAAAAGAATAATAAAATGAAAGTGGAAATAAAAGGAAGAATAAATAAAACAAAAAATAAATAATGTGGCAATATGAATCAAAAATGAATCCATACAATAAAAGGCTAATAAAAGCAGAAAAAAAGACAAATAAATTTAAATTTTTTAAAAAATATTTATTTATTTATATTTATTTTTAGATATTTTTTTTACATTTATTTTAATTTTTTTTAATTTTTCTTCTTTTTTAATTTATTTTTTATAACGTTGCTTTAAAAGCAAATAAAATATACACAGAAAATGTGCGCAGTAGGAATTTCATTTTTCTGCTCATATTTCCTTTGCTTTTAAAGCGAATTTTTTTTTTAAATAATTAAAATCAATAAATAAAAAATAAAAACAAAAATTACAAATTAAAATTCAAAAAGAAATTTAAAAATAATGATAAATTAAAAATGTTTTAAAAAATCTAAACAAATAAAAAACAGAAATTAAAAAAATTAAAATTATTATTTTTTTGTTTTATTTGTCTTTATATTCCTACTTTATTATCCTTTTCTTTTATGGATAAATTTTTTATTAATATTGCTTTATATTGCCACATTATTTATTTTATTTGTTCTTCAAACAAATACATTTATTTTATTATTCTTTTATAGTTTTATTTTTGTAATTTGGCGCTCTCTCTGCTTCATATCCTGCAGCAAATGCTACAGAAGGGACCAAATGAAGTGACTATTTAGATGAAGGTTTCAGCTCTTTATTTTAAAGAAAGCAGTTTTCCTTTATTTTGAAGCGCCAATAATTACCACATGTTCTGCAGTCACTGTTGCTGCATTGTCAGAGCTGGTCGTTACTCCACGGGCACTCCACCCCCACAGATGACCCCCGTACCTTCGGGGAAACACTGCTGGTGTGTGCATGTGGAGACACAGAGGCGGGTCTGTGCCAGTCACACAAAGCTGTCCATTCAGGTGCTGGTGGCCTGCAGCCAGTTACACTTCAGGCTGCCCACCTCCGCTCGCCCTCGTCACCTGTTTGCCCCGAGTCACCCCGCCCTTCTCCGTGCTACCAACTTGACTTTATCCCTCTTTCGCCTTCCCGTTTGCGTCTTGACTTTGGCTTCTGTCTCTCTCCTTTCTAACACCTTCAGCTCTTGACCTCTACAAACACGATTATTCACTCAGCTCACCTTCTTTACTGTTTGTTTTTTAACTTTCCGCCCGTTTTCTCACCTCATCTCTCGCCATCTCACCCGCGCGGCCGACAGCAAAGAGGTGTCAGACGTCGCGGCAGAAAAATCAGCAGCATCGGACTCGGTTTCTTCTCGACTTTTCGTTCCTTTTCTCCACTTAAACAAAATTCGGTGTTACAGGATGAACCCAGGGGAAGAAAAGGTGATGCTGTACCGTCACTTCTCCCTGTTTTCATCTACATCTTCAGCCTCATTTCCTCATTTATTTCCTCCGTGATAATCATCGTGCCTAAAACGTTTGAAAGAGAGAAACAGAAAAAACCCGGACTAATAATATACCTCTTGTCTAATATGGCCGGCAAAGGCTTAACAAGGGGACACGGGTGACAACTGCTCACAGTTGCCATGGCAACCTCCTTTCTTTCCCTCCGAGTGTGATCATTAAACAATGACTCAACAGCTTCCAATTTGGCTTGTGACACAGATTTGTGCTCACCGGATGGACGGACGGCTTGTGGAGGGGTTTGGGATTCGTCGGGTCCAGGCGACGAGGGCGAGCTACAGAAGCTACACATCTGCAATTAGCCGCTAAGCAAAAGAAACTTGTGCAAACGTACGAGCAAAAAAAAAACCAACATGCAGCTCTGAAACAATAATACAGACCATTGTGACTTCACATACCACTGCTCCATCTGTAGCAGTGCGCTCGGGGCTGTCCGTCCCCCCAGCTAACCGACCAATCAGACGCCACCCTCCCACACAGCCTTATGAAACCAGTCCAGTCACAGTGAACCCAACGCATGCCGAGTTAATATCGAGTGCTGGAAGTGCATCTACACAGAAATCATGCCTGGAAAAAAAAAAAAAAAAAGCTGCAATGTTCAAGGCAAAGCGAGAGATAAAACACTAGAGAAACACTGTGGCACAGAAGCCACCCACTCGGGTCCAAGACAAGCTGCATTACTCAATAAATCAGCTTAAGGGAGCAAGAGGAGTCGTCAAGCATGCAAAAAAAAAATCACTCATGAATGTGCAAATGCAACCAAACACACACAGACGCCCACGCACAGGTCCTCACGTCACTCCAGCAACACAAACACACCGACGTCCTGTGCTGCAGAAAGCCTCGCATGTTTCTGACGTCACCCCACGAGCAGAAACCCACTCAACTCAACCTATCCTCCTTTTATTACTTCCTGTCTGACAGAGACGACGTGCATGAATATATAATGCGGAAAAGGTGATCTTCAAGCGGTCGTGTCACGACAGATGCGGCGAGACAGAGAAGAAAGTGAGAAAGCTCCGGGGGGGAAACGCTCTGCCGGCGAGTAAAACGATGTCATTCATTGTCTCGTTCACTTACTGCCAGTAAAGGCGATCCAGCGGGCGTATTTGGTGGCTTCTCTGCGCCAGTGTGATGCCACCAGCAGTCCGCAGGTGACCGTGAGGGAGATGATGCCCATGATGATGAAGAAAAGCGTGGTGACCCACTCTGGAGGCAGCCGAGGCGGGATGCAAGTCCGGTCTCGCCCGTGGATGGTCTGGCACTGCCGGACCAGACCGACTGTGAGGGCACCTGCAGGGAGAGGACGCAAGTTGAAGAAGCAATTCATCATTCACACAAAACAAGTAATATTAGCAATCACCAGCTGATCTGTGGCGAACCACAAATCATTTATATTGCAAAGCTGCTGAAAGGATGCAGGTCTAAAGTTAAATCTTTTATTTTACTGTATGTAAAAATGTACTGGCTACGCTGACGGTGACTTACCACTCAGCTGGATCCAAGGTTAAGTAGTTTTATACAACTTTTCTCCACAGTTCTGTACAGTGTTTAAAAACCACTCATCAATAAGAACTGAATGCAGCACAGCTAATAAGAAACACACACGAGAGCACCGGACTGGGCCACACCACGTACTACGACTAAAGATAGAACGCTTCACTCTCAGCTCAAACGCAAAATCACCGTCGGCGTTCATCTACGTCTACTACAGAACATCTCTGCCACAGCAGGAACCCATCAAACCACGAAGCCGCAACAAAAGTCCTCCTACGCTCGACAAAGACAACTTGATCTGAAGCGAGAACTGAAGCTTTGACAGCGATGCTTCAAGTCTGAATAAGAGAAGCACGAGTGGAAAAATTAGAGGAAAAAAAAAAAAAAGCATTATGGGTGTGACGCCGAAGACAAAGTGGTGACAAATGAGCGGCCTGATCAATAACCGGGCCGATGTGATGGCAAGGTGAAAGACCGCAGATGGAAAAAGACGAAGAGGAGCTCCTTTAAACTGTCACCATTTCAGCGAGGGGAGGACTTCGTACGGGATGGCTCAATTATGCCAGCAGCCAAGAAGAGAAGGTGAGGACGAAATCAATGCTGCCAGCAATTACTGAGTGAATCCACGCAGGTGAGACACAGTCTCTTAAGAAGCTGCAGTGACATCAGGAGAATTTGCAGCTGCCTTAAGAGACTCAATATCTCAGTGAATATATTGTAGGTCCGAGGCCTCCGTACTCAGAATCCTCCAAGTGACCATTTGCTGTCTCAAACATGTCATGACTTCATGTTCCGCCGTGCCGCTCCATCACCGAGCAGACAGCGAGACAAATGGATTCTTGCCTCAGACTGAGTCATGAGTGAAGGCCAGCACTCAGAGCAGGGCAATGCTTCACTCCGGAGACTCGCCATTCAATTAGAGCGAGTCCTCGAGGGGATGTTCTACCTGAGTAAGCAGAACACCGTCACAATGCTCAGGTCTCTGCTGATCACGGGTCTCGGGCAAAGAAAGGTGGACTTTCGACGGCAGACTACAGACATGCAGGGCTCATGTGAAAGAGGTGGAGTCGGGATGAGGGGCGTCTTGGATGATGTGCAGCGGGTTGTTCTGTCAGGCAGATGAGCTGTCATACGACTTCCCGCTTCAACACTTTGCATGTGGAAATAACAGGAGAGGGCTGTGTTAAAACAGACAGCCGCACTGCAGGAAAAACCAACAAATCCTCCAAATGAAACGGCAAAAAATGGAATGCCTTTGTGGCCTGTAAAACAACTTTTTCAGATCTATCAGCACGTTTGACTGGCTGTCAAAACGCTGCTTGAGGTTTCTTTCAGCTTGAGCACCAAGAGTTGGATTTAGGAAAAAGATGCTAACTGCAGTCAAAATAAGCACCTCAACATGAGCAAACATCGAACCTTGGCGCTGTTTGCAACAGGAACGTAGTAACTCTGTTGTATACCTTATCATTAAAATAACTGTGCTCTCTTATTATCTGAAAAGTGCACAGACTCTCTGATAAATCATCGGATTCATCTCATTTGCAAGGACACAGCAGTGCAGCATTCTGCAGTCTGACAAACCCTCAAACTAATGAACTTGTGGTTTCTCTAACACCGACCTTCCTGGGTCGCATTTCAGAGTTACACCAGCGTCCTAAGCAACCCTCTGAGACCAAATTAAGTCCATAATCTTGGAGCATTTCTTCGATGCAGCGCTGTTCTTGGCCTGAGCATGTGATAAGTGATGAAAACTAGCCACAGGTGCTGCAGCGGCACCAGCTCGACATCCCATACAGTCAAAACTGATAAACCTCATCCTTATAAAACAGACTTGTAGCTACAGAAGACATTTGAATTAAAAGGTGCCCTGTGGAGTTTTGTATACAACCAACAAACGTTTAAATTCAGCGCACTAAAGAGGTGCAACAAATGTGTTTCATCCTCACAAAACAAAGCAAAGCTAAATTGTTACACATTTTAAATCCCACATTGTTTACATCCTTGTTTATCTGAGCAATTTTCTTCTTCCCTGCCTTGTGCCGATGCATTGCAGCACACTTTAGCACATTACTGCCACCTGTTGATCGGTGAAACCGTGTGAAGTCACTTGACAAGGCTGCAGGCTCGTCCTCAACATGAACAAACCAGGGAGCCCTGCAAAGACAGATCCGCTCCGTGGAGCTAACCGAGCTGCACGGTTAATCAAGTACTAACCTCCATCATGATTTTAGCTTCCTGCAATTCAATGAGCATTTAAAACACATGCTCCGCTCATGGAAAACTCTGCATATCAACTCAAGCACCTCCTAAACACACAGCTAAGGAGTTCTGGGTTCACTTTGATGGAGCAGCCAGATCCTGTGGCCACAGTCCAGGTGAACGTACAGCAGACGAGCAAAACGGAATAAAAATGTCCGCAGGAGACGGTGAAGAGCTACTCAGTCGATACGGACCATCACTGCTTGTTTGGATGCAGGGAAAATGATGGAAAGCAAAAACAAATCACACACGACGAGCGCATGAGACTTTTGTGTCTGAACCACAAAGCAGTTAAACTGTTGAACCGGCTGAAAAAAACTGCAATGAATGGATGAAGGCCAAGAAGCAGAACGTCCCTCCATCCAGACCGGTGACGCTACCCAGGGCCTCAACACAACGCACAACGTGAAGGTAAAAGCATCTCTGCTGATTTCACATTGAGTAAAAGCTTCTGGTGCAACTTTATTTCTGTTGTGCTTCCAGGAGATGTGAAAATATCTAGTTTTATTTGGTACAAAATTTTGTACTTTAGCATGAATGCAGCACAGCTAAACTCAAACAAAACAACAGGGTGAAAAGGTAAAGGATCCTGATATCGATCAAATCACTAGTTTGGCCACAATCATGCAGCTATAGTTGGTCAAAGACTGCAGCATCTGGCCAACCCAGCTCTTATTGAAGCTTTACTGGCAAAATATCTTCTCAGAATGATTCTTAGATCCAACTGTCTGTGCACGTTTCAGGTACAATCTGGAAAAAAGAAAAAGGAACGGCCAGTAAACCACATAATCGTCCATTCACTGCAAAGACAAGCCTGTGTGGCCAGCATCACAAAGCTGACCAGCGGCCCGGCAGGTGGGCGGACGCCAGCGTGAGACAAGTATGCAAGCTGGATTTTCAGAAGGTCAGCTGTGTTCCTTGGTCTGCCTGGCACCCAAATCTAAACATTTCATAAGCCGCCTGTTACAACCTTTGCACACAGCGAAGACATGATGCTCAAACACTTGAACTCAAACAGAACCGAGCAAAAGCCGAGCGCTGTGTTGGTCCTGGGGGCGTGGTGGGTTTGTGCAGACTGTCCAGAGGAAATCCTGTCCCCTTTATAACACCCAGCAAAAGCACTGCTTTTTACAGTAACCACCAAACACAAGCTCAGCCCTTCTCAGCCCACACAAACAATGCCAGTGGCTCCAAAGAAACGTTATATATGGAACCGTAGAAAAGAGGGCTGGAAATGTGCAACCCTACCTTTCAAACCATCCACACAAAACTGTCAATGCAGCATACAATTTAGTACAGACAAGATGTTTCCTGCCTTCAGTTTGCACCGTATGCTCGGCCCCACTGAACACTTACACCAGAACAGGGAAGAGAGAAGAGTGAAGGTCACGGCTCACAGCTTCTCCAAAAGCCTGCTGCTAAAGTCAGAGCAACCCTGGACAAATTAAAGAAGAGAAGGTAAAGAAAGCAGGGACTGGTGCTGGAAACAGGAAAACTTTAGGCAGAAGTTTGAAAGCTGCACTTTAATGGCATCGGTTTATGACCACTTCCCCTGGACCCTCCGGCCTCCTGCTGTTTCACGAGCTCTCTGTGGAATTCCTGCCCTACAGCGGTGCACGGACACAGGTAAACACCGAGCAGGACGCACCGAGCGCTGCACTTCAGTCTCAGTGGGAATCAGGCAACAACGGCGTGCTCAGTAGTGCAGCGCTTCAGTCGCTAACACGGGATGCTCCTCTGCAGATCAGCTCGGAAACAAACAACCACCACAAATTTCAAGGGATTTTTTACACCACCAATAGTGTGGATTAAACAGTCGAGACAAAAGATGCCAATCGGAGTCTGGCTGATTTCGGTCCTTTCAGAGCCAGGCTGGTCTCCAAACTTTGTGCTAAGCTAAGCTAAGCTGCTGCTGCACGCAGGCTTCTATGCAAAACTCTGAGCTCCTAAACTGACAGATTTTACCGGAGCCAGAAAACAGTAAAAACAGAGAAAACCATCAGATTTCAAAAGTCCTGCAGCTTCTCGTCTGGGACGTGCCCTACGTTGTGATATCTCATCAAAGGGCCTTCAGTCTACAAGCTTTGTGTTGTTTTTATTTGCCAAATAAACCATTTGTTCGAACCTCATTCTGTTAAAAAAAAAAAAAGAAAAATTCTAACAGGAAAGCCATTAGTGACACAGCTGTGAGCGACAGTCACTGCAGGCTTTGTGCACACAGAGCAGAGAAGCATTAAAGCAAATTAAAAATGTAGGTAGTAGCACACCTACAGTATTAGATTTCTCTTTCTAAAGTTCTGGTAACATCAGTGGTGAAAATGCTTTAACTGCTGATTCCAGTTTTTGTTTTCATTTTTATAAAATAAGCAATCAAATAACTTAAGTGTTTGTCTTTTTTTTTTTTTTAACGATATTATATCTGTCATTCTAGCTCTCTCTCCTTCACTGACAAACGAGCCCACCGTGACACTAGCAGAAAATGTCCAGACACTGCTCAGAGCTCTGAGGGTTGACAGACCGACGTGACAGCAGTGTTG